ATAACCACCATCGTCCACTTCTCCACGCCGACCTCCACCAATAACACAAACACTAGAAAATGCAATTAGCCCCCCCCCCCCCCCCCCTCAAAAGACGAACTCGGTCCAGGAAAGTCAGAATGAGCTGAAACTTTCAGCATATGTTAAGACTGAAGTGAGGAGTTTGTAATAAAATTTTCAGCTCGATATCACCTAGTTTTCCAGAGATCTGACTCGAACAAGGTCAAAAACTAGGTCTTTTTATTTCCAAGATTTCTCGGTCCGGAGTCATCGGACACGTTTAATTTTGTTTTTGTTGGATAGAGCATGTCCGAATTGAGAGCACTACAGAGCCCTTTTTTTTATTTTCTTACTTTTTTGTTGAAAAAAAATATCAAAGTTCAATGACCTTAGAAAAAGGGGTGTTTAATCACGGAAATCCTTGCACTGTTTAAAAAAAAAAGGTTAATCGGAAAAAAGGGCTCTGTGGTGCTCTCAATTCGAACATGCTCTTTCCAACAAAAAAAAAATTAAACGTATCCGATCACACTGGACCGAGAATTCTTGGAAATAAAATCAAAAAAACAGAAATCGAGAAAAAGCGAAATACATTTTTTGAAGTGAAATTTTTTCAGATTTTTGAACTTTTGCGTGTTTTTTTTGCTTTTTCAAAGAGATAAGTTACGAACTGTTATATATCTATGTATAGTATTCAAATGAAGGGATTTTTTTCATCGCAAAACCGTCACTACCACAAACCTTCAAGTTTATCTTTGTAATATATATTATATTCATAATAAACATTACACCATGTTTAGACAATTACAACACTAGTAATGGTTTTAGGAACGAGCTTTGTCTCTTCTGATAACGACATCTTTTTTTTCGTTCTATATGACTAATGCGAGATTATATATGGTAGTAAAAGGACTAATAGTAAAAGTAAAATTTTACTATTTTTTTATTTTTTGACACTTGCTTTGTCAATAACAATTATCAACGTGTGACAAAACACTTTTTCTATTAAAATATTAGTTTTTCTCGTAAAATTTGCAAATTTTCTTTTACAAGAAAACACGTTGTTTAGGTGGTTCATCACGGAAATCGTCAAAATTTTCACTAAAAAAAACGGTTTTTGATAAAAAAACCATATCATTTCTGAAAGATCTGATGATGGGCTATCATCCTATGCATTTATCTCAATTTCGAAAATTTTAAAAAAAATTGACTCTTTTGGAGGGGTGGGGGGGCCTTAAAGAAAAACACAAAAAAATAAAAAATATATCAGAAAAACTTTAAATAAAAACTTAATATGAATATTACAGGACAAGCTAGTCTGCCCTGTCCTGTCCTGCCGCACCCACTGTGCTCGTCCTGTGCGGCGGCAGGACAGGACAAAATTTAAAAGTTCGTCCTGTCCCGCCGCTCAGGACAGGACAGGACTACAGGACGACCGCACCGTCCTGTCCTGTGCTCATCTCTGGTCGGTAATATAGTTGTACAATTCAAATTAATATACATACATTGTGTAGTTAATTGTTGAATGACCGATTGATTTAATAGAGAAATTGGATATTTTGTTGAATCAAGTATTTCTTTGAACATAAATATAAAATACAGTGAAACCTCCGTAAAATGAACACCAACGGGACCGCATGAAAAGCGTTCATTATGGGAGGTGTTCATTATATAGAGGTTTTGAATAGATTGGCAGGATACCAATGTAGAATTCACAGTGAACACGACTGAATGGTATCCATGAGTTGTTTGTATTACATTTCATCGAGTAAACGCGAAGTCAATCAAGTAGTGCCTCTTGATCACAAAATCCAGGGAATTGTTGTGAAATTAATTGTTTTCTATCGTCTCTTTAATCTTGTTCAATTCGATGAGAGGATGGATGAATTTTAAACGTAGCCGAGAGATAAGATCATAGTGTTGTGATTGCTCATTATTAGTAGAAAGATTAGGTTATAAGACCACTGCTAATATCTCGCTGACGCCTTCAGAAGTGTTAATCTACTTTCCCATCCTCCACCTTGTTTCTACAGTCGATTTACTGCCTACCCTAATTAGGATCGGCAAGAAATCAATTGAAATGCGCGAAATATTCGCATCGCCTTTTTTGTTTCCTGTGCACATTCACTTTCTAGATATCAAAAAATCGTCAAAAGATTGGACAAAACGAAGTTTCAAAAGAATTTCGACTTCTTTTCTCCCATAAAATAGTATATTTTATCACAAATTTGTTCATTTCAGAGAGGTTTTCTTTGTCACAGGGACCGGGAAAAGCGTTCAATGTTCAGAGGTGGGAGGTGTTCATTATGTAGAGGTGCAATTACAGCAAAAATCACTTGGAGGGACCGAGATACGTGTTCAAACAAGAGGTGTTCATTATACAGAGGTGTTCATTAAGGGAGGTTTCACTCTAATTACATGAATGATTTTGATAAACAATAATTAACATTGTCGAAATGAATATTATTAAGAAAAATTTGAAGATCTTTTGTTGAAGAATAATTCCATTGAATAGATGAACTATCTTGTCGAATCTAATAAATCAAAATTGATCTGTTTTTAATCATTTCGAAAGTTTCAAGTGTTAATTAAATTGTATCAAGAAATGAAGATGTTTTATTAATAGATTTAAAATGTTTATTATAGACAATTGTTGTTGTTTCTAATGAAGAAAACAAATTTGATGATAAATTTAAATATTTTACAATTGTTCCATGAAAAATCTTTGGATGAATTAATTCAATATGATTAAAACCTAAATCAATTGTTTGAAATTAATGTGTATTTTGAAATGAATTTTCATTTAATCCTTTTATTTTATTACAACATATTATTCATGTATTTAACGATGAAAGATTTAAAGTCATGTAAGAAATTATTTGATAAATAAAATGTAATTAATGTTTCATTTAATGGATTTAAAAATGATTTAATTTTATTATGAATTGTAATAATTTCAAGAGAATTTAAATGATTATCAGATAAAAATAATGCAATATGTTTTATTCGATTATCTGATAAATCAAGTTGAATTAAATGAATTAAATTTATTTGATGATAAATCTAATTTTAATAGAAATCTATCAAGACTTTCAATAAGAAGATTAACATTTGTTAATGAACAATTCGTTATTTTATCAAATACTTTTAAATCAAAGGAGGGGGAGACGATAAGAGCTGAAATCGGCCCCTCTTCTGAATCCATGTTTTTCCTATCAGAATAGTTGGTTTCAGTTCCAGAACTTACGATGAGTCTAGATGTAACTGCTGACTTCGACGACGACAATCATCCTTCAACTTTATCTATTTGGATCAACTGACATTAAACTGAAATCTTGAGAGTACGGGTGTAGATGAGAATAAGACAGGGAGTCAGTTTTGGCTTTGATTTGGGTCTCGAGAGAAAATGTCGTTGGGTAGTATCGTTCCTGATTGGACTCTCCTACCTGTATCGAAAGTTTCAGATCAAACGGACGAAATGTGTAGCTTTGCGGGAAGCGGGGGGGGGGGGGGGGGGGCCCCCCTGAGAACTTCATAAAAAAACAAGAAATCTTTTCTTTTTTTTTTCACAAAGCAAGAAATATTTTCTTTCTTTTTGAAGCCTCCCTCCTACGGACGCCNNNGTTATGGATAAGAATCGAAAATTTTATGTGTAGGTTGGATACATCAGGTGACGGATTTCTTACGTTGGATAAATTTAAGGATTCTATAGAAAAAATAGTAAATGATTTTTTTTATGCTTAGCAAAGCAGGAGATTATTCTGTTCTTTTTAAAGCTCTCAATTCGAATGGGTCCAGAATTGGCAAGGCAAATCGATATAAATAAATTTAGTGAACAGATTTTTGAACAATGCGGTCTTCATCCAACAAAGAAAATAAGCAAAGAACAATTTATAGAAGGGTAAGCGAATGAAATACTGATGATTTTCTTTGTTTTGAATAGAAATTTTGTTCTAGATGTAAAAAGAACAAAGAATTTATCAGTTTTCTTACTGGAGAAAAATAAACTTTCATCTTCATAATTTTAGTTTTAAAGAATTTTATTGTCTTTAATAAATATGCATTAAATAAAAAAAAGTCATGTTGTTTCATCTAGAACCACTGACGACGATTAGTTGTATCGAAAAATATGATATTTAGACATTACTTTACTTCATTTTTACATCAAACAAAGTGTAAATATGACTCACCGTCACATTTCGCTACCTTGTCTAAATTATGTGTATGAACCGGAACGATTACCGTCCTAATTAGCGTATATACTGAAATCTTCAGCATAAATTTCACGAAGTCATTAATACTCAATTTATACATAAGTCATATGAAAGTTGTATATTCTGCCGATGAGAATTCAGTTGTGATATTTTTCACGTAATGAATACTTGACAGCATTGGACACTGAACAGGATTCGTTTCTAATAGTTCTTTTGCAATTGAAAATGTGAGGTGAATTTTGTTTCACGTTCCATGCTCTGTCGTTTAGTATATTAGATAAAATTATCGGTTAATTTCTTATACGAAGAATATCTAAAAATATTCCTAAAATTTCTCATCGAATTTTGAACACGTTATCGCGTCAAGGTTTTTCGGTGCAAAGTACGAAAAACACTATGTCCTGTACTCAATTTTCAGTTCTCCACGATTGGATTTTACCAACATCGCACTAGTAAATACATCGGTAGTATTCGATTAATCGACGAAATTTTCGACTAATGACGCTATTTGAGGAAGAAGACGTGTGCAATCACCTTTTTGATTTGTTTTTTTATCTAAAAATTTTTATATTTGCCTATGTGTTCGAAAAGAATGATTGTTTGTTTTTCCTCTATAAATGTCGTTGGTTTTTTCTTGAGGGTTTATTTCATTATCAAATCAACGAAGTTATGAGTGACAAAGGCAGCAAACGAGAATTGACTGATGCAGGTTTGTTTGATTTTCTCTAATCTTTCGGTGGTAATCATTTGGATTCTATTAGAACTTGATGCACTTAAAGCCAGTTCAGTTATGAGTGAAGAAGGTACAAGAAAGTGTGCAAATACTTTTCCCCTCTAAAATTTACATATGTTTTTTCTCCGCTATTTAGAAATTCGCAAATATTACGAAGTAAGAGAATTCATGAACGATTTCAGTTAGTTCATTGCTGTTTTTTGCTCAGCATTTTGTAAATGTAGATGATGGCGATGGCAAATTGACAAAGGAAGAATTTCATAATTTTGCTCGAAAACTATTCGGAAATGATAGCCTCGATCGAGTAAAAACTGAGTATGTTCTTCGATGTATCTCTTTCGATACTCTCATCGATTGTTTTTAGCACAATATTTGGTGCATTCGATACAAATAATGATGGTACCGTAACTTTCCGTGAATTTATTTTGGCAGTCGTTGCAATCAGCAATAATGAGTTGGATATTATGTTGACCCACTCATTTCACATGTAAGAGTCTTTCGAAGCAGAGACCGGCGGTGTGCGGTACCAGTACCGTACCGTACCGGGACGGGACGGTATAGGAAAAAAAGAAGTAGGGCGGTACGGTACGGTACGGTATTGCAAAGCCGCGGTACGATACGGTCTGCGGTATGAGAGGACTATACCGCACTCCCGCGTCTCCATTAGAAGCATCCCTCTAACTATGATTTTCGAAGACATCTTTTATATTATTTTCATTCGTGTTATACATTGAAAGGAATTTGGCAAAGCTAACCCTGTCTCAGTCTCTTATCCGCATCTGTTTGAATTTCTTATCATCTCGCCGAAAATAAACTACACTCAATTAAACCCTAGGAAGTCAGATGAAGATGTTTAAGAACCATCGTGATTATCATATATTAACGATCAACTGATGTCAACAATTGCTGTAGGAGAACGATTTTTATCACTTGCATTTTGTTTTTTCTAATAAATATTATTGTTAAATGAAAAGTGCAATCGTTAAACGGTTCAACACTTTTTAGAACGTAATGAGACAACATGTTATTCTCGAAAATCAAAATTATAAAAAGTCATGCACTTATTTGCTGATAATCATTTGGATTTCTGTCAAACTCGATATCCATGGTATTTCTGAGAAAAAGATTGAATTCTGCTTTACAACGAGTTCGTACATTTCATGCAGCAATACGTTTCTTAAGAAACATAATTGCGAATTATCTGACGAAAAAGCTATCTTACTTTACTTTGATCTGAGGCCTGATCATCTTCGAAAAATTTAATTACTGTACATAATCATCCGAAAACTGTTTGATTCCTTAGTTCTAATGCCCAAGAAAGGAAATATCGATTAGTCTAAAAGATATATAAAGATGTACAAACATTTACTATAACGATGGTTTTGATCAGATATGGGCAAGTCAACGATATTTTGACCCCAAGTCAAGTAAAAATTAATAACTGAAAATTTCGAATAGATGAAGTCAAGATATGTCTCGAAAATCTTTAAGTCAAAGTTATAGTTTAAGTCAAGTCACAAGTCATTTGACTCGGCTTAATTTAAATTGATTCGAGTCGAAAAAGGACTTGACTTGCTATCTTAAGAGTCAATTCCATCCTACAAGTTTATTTTATTGTTCTTAATTTAAAACTTTTGATAATTTTACGCCCAAAACTAATACTGACGTGCATGAAACACTGGTATATATTTATACAGTTTGAAACTTGACTTGACCATGTTTTGTTTCGATAAAATAGCACAATGTTATATATCGAATGATAAGTTAATGTGTTCTCGGAATTCCTTTTTACGTATGCGCAGATAATTTTTTATACTTTGTTGTCAACATTCATCGAAAAAGTGTTCCCTACATGACTCAATAACTCAATAAAATGGATCATAACAGCTTCGGAGAAAACTTATAAAACATTTTCTGGCGGTACGGTATTTCGCGAGACGGTATACTTCAGACTCTAGGCGGTAACGGTACGGTACGGTACGGTACGGTACGGTACGGTATGATACGAGTGAAAGCGGTACACGGTACGAGACGGTATCAAATTTTTGCAATACCGCCGGTCTCTGTTTCGAAGTTATGGATAAGAATCGAAAATTTTATGTGTAGGTTGGATACATCAGGTGACGGATTTCTTACGTTGGATAAATTTAAGGGGAGATCCCCCCACCCACCTCGTGAACGGATTTTTTGTATTTTGCGAAAACATGATGTTCCGAACATACCTATTTCAGATGGAAAAGATTACTCCATCAAAGATGTCAGATATTTATTCGTGCTTATGACCCTCGCCCGAAAAAATGGTTAAAACGAAGGATACTAACTGAATTATCTACATAGAAACCAGCTCTGTCCAAGACCGTCAAGTTTATTGAACAAAGCAAATTCGTATTTACAAAAGACAAAAATCGTCATTGAGAAAAGGGATAAACAGTGTTTGATCGACTAGAAATGGATTTTTTACATTCTTTTCTGCCGGACTCTGAGGGTAAAACAAAAATTAGGAAAGTGACTATTGGTGGGATAAACGAGAGAAAATATCCAAGAGTTTTCCTTTGAATCCATACTCTTGGATATATACGAGAGAATCAGACATAGTAATGCAAGAAAGAATAAGATAACAGGTGCGGTTAACCCACTCACTACGATTCGGTTTTTTTAAGAAATTTCGTTGAACTATGAATTTCTGTGAAAATTTAATTTCTATCAGATGCCTTTAGTAACCTTTCCATCATCTTCTATCAATTGTCCATTGTTCTTTTTTGTTTCATCACATATCTCTCAAGTTGTTTTTGCATTCTTTGACATTTTACGAGTAGCACATATAAGATAAGAGAAAGAAACTTCCAGATTTTTTTCTTTCTTCTTATCTCTATCCGTGTATGTATAAAAGCGACCCAAATTTCGAAATATTGCATATATCGTCCGAAGAAATTGATACACAAGAAAGTACTAGCCCACTAAGTGAAGTGAGTTCTTTGGATGATGATTTGAATAACATGCATCTGTAATCTGGAAGTTCCGTCGAAGAAGTAGCTTCCACTTCAGAAGATAATACACTGCGTCCTATCGATTGTTATCGACATTTCATCAGTGTATAGACCTGATTCGGTTGTCACCATCGACGAAAGTATGGTATCATGGCAAGACAGACTTTTGTTCAAACAATATATTCCTGGAAAAGCGCACAACTACGGCGTCAAAGTTTACTAGCTAGCGACTACCAATGGATACACCTGGAATTATATAATCTACACTAGTCAACAAGATTTCATGGCAAGTCTTGGGCATTCTCAAACAGTGATGATGGATGTTATCGGACTGTAGTAGCTAATAACTTCTTTACCGGCATTCCTCTGGTGAATCGTTTGTTAGAACATGATACCTCTCTTATTGGAACATTAAGAAGTAATCGTGCCGGATCGGGTAGCGCAGTTCATAGGCTACAGAACAAAAACGGCGTGAAACTGATCAAATGGAAAGACGTCTTGATGATATCTACACGTCCGTCGCATTCAGCAACTTTGATCAATCCTGGATTACAATGAAGGAAGAATCAGTATACTGATTTATCTGATCAGTTATCATCATATTACACGTGCCTCAGGCGATCAATAAAGTGGTACCGAAAGACGGCATTTGAATTAGTTTTAGCGACGGCACTAGTAAATAGCGATTTGATATAGAAGGAAATATATGCGATAGGCAAAGTAACCATTCTGCAGTTTCGTGAAAGTCTTGTCCGATCCTTACTGCTTGGCAAGGTATTCGAGAATTTGAAACTGAAGTCAACACGAAAATCCGTAGGTCAAACGAAGCGTAAACTTGCTGATGACAAGCTCGAAGAAAAGTAACGTTGTGCTGGCTGCTACGAGAAAATAAGGCAGCAACAGTCAAAAGCATCGTATTTAAGTAGAACTTGTGACATTTAATTTGTAACCTCTAACTGAGAAAGAAAAAAGGGAAGAAAGTGTTTCTTTATTGATTTTCTAGTAAAAATAATGTGGGACCCACCGATGGGTACCATCGTAGCGAATGGCTTAATATAGACCGATCGGTCGAATTTTTTTTCTCGAATATCAATCCTTATTTATAGAATATAATAGCAAACAAGAAAAACGAAAAAGTGAAAAATCATTATCGCATTACGAACTATTATTTAAACAGATGAATTAATTGTTTCTCAATAAAAATATCTCTGTTACATGGTTCATAAAAAGTTGGCTTTTCCGAAAAACATCCCGAGACTTGATGAGCAGGAAAAACAACAATAATTAAATTTTTGCCACACGATGAGTGAATAAAAAGAGAAGTTTTGTAGATCGCCGTGAAGGCAAATCACAAAGTATTAGAAACAATTCATTTTGCATAAAGATACTTCTGTCTTTCTGTAAGTTTCCGACTATATTCTCTACGATATGTTGATTTCGAATTGACGTGTTACGCGTATAATATGATCATTAAACATTTTTATATTTTGTAAATAATGATATTTTATTCTCTTTAATAAATAGAAAATCAATCAAGTTATTAAGTAAATCGAACACTACGCATGATATTTTTCAATTTTCTTTGACTTGTTCGATGATAATAATTTAATATAAAGTAAAGAACATAATCATTATTCATTATAATGGCATATCTCGTTTGTTTACTTATTATATGATTTGGAATTTCTGCACGAGACATTAACTTCGCAAAAGTTTTATTAGCCAATTTGATTTCTTCACAATTGCCTCGAAATTTAATTTTCAAACATCGAAAACAAGAAAAACCTTTGCCATGTGCATCTTTACTTTCTGATTTTTCAATATGACTTCGAACATTGTTCAAATAATTACAGTTACTTTTTACTTTTGACAAAGTCTCCAAATTTAAAGAATTAACTACAATGTTTGGATTCATTTTACCATTTGATAAATCAAATTCATATTGAGAAAAAGTAAAAAGAGGCATTGATTCTTCCAAAGTTTGTTCAAGTCGTTCTTCTATTGATTTATGACTATGCACTTTAAATGGAAAACTTTTCTTTTCAATTTCATCTAACATTTTTTCTTGACTTATTGAATACCATTCTTTGGGTTTTTCTACGGATAGACCAAAGAAAACATTTGAATAATGATTTCTATGTGTGTTGTTCATGATTAATGATGAACTATTGATATCTCCCCAAGAAACTATAAAGATTAAATAAATATAAAAATGAATTCATTTTAAAACTCTAATTTAGTTCTATTTTTAGTTTTTATTTTTAAAATAATTCGTTTAACTGTTGATTGAACAGTATTAAACTGAAATATTAATGCAACAATAAGAAAAATCATACATTTGAATAGCATGTTTTAAAGAAGTTCTATCTTGTAGTTGATGGTTTTTCAATTGAATCATCAAATGATTGAGAGTCAATTTATACAAAACTTTCTCTTGTAATCTGATCTATCGATTTTATTCAAAGGTTACTTCCTTTTGATAGGAAGAAATATTTATCATCGTGATAAAAATATGTTATATTTTATATCAAACTTCCTCTTCATCGATATAGGTCATTTGTTTTATTAATAATCACACTAGGTAAATACGGATGTGAGTAAAGAGAAATAAGAATTGATCATATCTGCACTCTCGCCCTAAAAAAATTGAGAACTGATCAACAAATACAAGACAGCTGTCAACGATCACATATTTTTCATTTATTATCTGTCTTATCTCAATTATAACGGGTGCGGCAGAGGAAATTGCCGGTTTTTGCATGCCAATTTTCAATCATATAGTACGATGTATTAAAAGAACAAAATATACCAAAAGATGCAGCATGAAAAGCTCTACAATTTTCATATGACAGCTAATTTTACAGTTGTAATTTTTGTTATCAAAATTGACAAAACTCTGAGTCACCAAATTTCGATGTTGNTCTACAATTTACATAGAATATCTTATTTTACAGTTGCACATTTCATTTTCAAAGTCGACAAAATTCTAAGCGACTAATCTTCGACGCTAGGAAAAACTTTTTTTTCGGTATAGGATGGATGCGGCTGTTATTATTTACCACTAGATGTGTTTCATTTAAAAAAAGAAAATACATCACAAAATACATCGTGAAAAATTCTACATTTTATGAAAAACAATTTATTTTCTTTATACACCTTTTGTTCTTGAAATCGACAAAATTCTAAGCAACTAAATTGCGACACGACGAAAATCATATTTTTTTGATACACTACGAATACATTCTTTCTTATTTATCTTCTGATATGTTTTATTAAAAAAGAAACAAAATACAACAACAGATGCAGCGTGACTAGCTCTACAATTTACGAAGAACCATTATAAGAAGATGAAATGAGAAAAACGAATTCGCCCTTTACCAAAAAGAAGATAGCGTTTGAGCAACATCGAAATTTGGTGACTCAGAGTTTTGTCAATTTTGATAACAAAAATTACAACTGTAAAATTAGCTGTCCTATGAAAATCGTAGAGCTTTTCTTGCTGCATCTTTTAGTATATTTTGTTCTTTTAATACATCGTACTATATGATTGAAAATTGGCATGCAAAAACCGGCAATTTCCTCTGCCGCACCCGTTATATATATATATATATATATATATATATATATATATATCTGTTTTTTTCAAAGGGAGTGTTATTTTCATTATTTAACCTTCTTTTTTTTTTCTTTATATAAAGAAGGTGAATATTGCAAAGTATTTCTTCATTCGTTCAAATAAATCATGCTACGACAACTTCTACTCTGTTGGACAAGTGTTCTTGTTCTTTTCGTAATTCCATCAGAATCTGCACTGAGCTCTGGTTGTGGAAAACCACTTCCAAGTGGTTTTTCTCCAGGTGAGACAAAATCAATACAGATTCCTGCAGCAAATGGTCAACCCGTTCGTCACTACAAAGTACATCTCTCAGCTAACTTTCAAAACAATCGAGGACATGCTATTGTCTTCTCTTTCCATGGCCACAATGGAGATATGGATAAACAAGAAGATCTATCTCAATTGTCTGAGAAAGGTCTACTTATCGATGGTGCGGGAATCATTGCCGTCTATCCTAAAGGAAAGTTAGGAACCGATGGACAAACTGCTTGGCAAGGTGCACCGTACTCTGCTCCTGGAGTCGATGATGTGAGTTTTCCATGATCCTTTTCCATTTCTATAGCAAACGAAATAATAATTTAATATAGATTGCCTTTGTAAATACAGTGATCGCTTCATTACAAAGTACATTTTGCGTTGATTCGTCACGAATCTATGCAACTGGTAAAAGTAATGGTATGTTGATGTTTTTAATTATTTATTTCCACGTCCTGTTACTATACGACATTATATCCCTTCTGGTTAGTTTTCATTTTATTACTGATTGTTAGTTTCTTCACATAGAACAATTCTGAGTAAAATTCTGTCGTTTCATTTTTCTTCCAGAAATCCTACTGTCGTACTGGTAATCTAAATTTAAACATACAGTTTGTTTCGAAAAAATATCCTGAAATTTGCCAATATGTGAAATTTGATTTATAATTTTTGAAACTATCTAGGTGCTGGATTCGTTAACCTTCTAGCCTGTACACCATGGATAGCTGCAAAGTTTGCTGCTTTTGCAACAGTTTCAGCAGCTCTTTACAAGACTACATTCAATGGAAATTGTCCTACTCAACGTGCCGTACCTGTTCTCGATTTTCACGGTACTTCAGACAGTGTTTCATTCTATTATGGTGGCAAAGTAAACGGTGCATTTCAAGTCAGTGCAGATAATTTTCGACAAGGATGGGCATCACGCAAGGGTTGTCAAGATAAACCGACAATTTCTCATTTATCAAAAGGAAGAGATCCTCAACAATTGGTTGAAATTCAGACGTGGAATAGCAACTGTAAAGGAAATAGTATTGTTATAGGATATAAAATTACTAGAGGACAACATGGATGGCCTCGAACGACATTACCAGCAAAATGTAATGGAAATTTCGGAACAAATGATTGTACAACTACTGTATTTGATGCTACATCAAGTGTTATCATTCCTTTTTTTTAATAAGTATAGATTGTAATTAACACAAAAATACTTGATAAGTATATCAAAGAAATAAAAAAATATTAAAATAATAAATCATCTTGAGAGTGTAGATATCACTTTCTCCTCATCTCTGCTAACTTTAATTATTATTGATGAGAAGAAGTAATATGAAAGTTTTATTGATTAAAATAAAAAGATGAATAAATAAGATTATTTATATTTATTATCATGGTTGATAAAGTTCACAAGTTTTAAGATAACCCGATGCTCCGTCACCACCACAAACAAGAACTTGACCCGAATGATCTAGTAAAGTAGCCGTATGATAACTACGACCTGTAGATAAATTAGCAGCTACACTAAATGTAAATGTTAATGGATTAAAGATTTCCACTTGATTCATAGAAGGATAGCCACCAACAAGTAAAATTCGTCCATCATTTAGTAGAGTAGCTGTATGAGCACATCTTGCATATTTTAATGTACCATTTCGAACAAATGTAAGTGTTGTTACATTAAATAAATCGTATGTATTTATATTGCCTGAAATATAACCACCAGCAAAAAGAATTGATTGAATAGAAGGAATGTAAGTAGCTGTATGGTAGTAACGATTATTAGACATTGTTGCAGCAATAGTTACAAACGAATTTGAACTACTATTGAACAATTCCAAGCTATTGAGAACACCATTACCCATCGTCTGTCCTCCTGCAATGAGAATATTACCATTCGGTAATGATGTTGATGTATGATAATATCTAGCAACTGACATGTGTCTTAGAATAAACGTATTGTTCGAACTATCAAACAAATTAGCAGATGATAGAAAAGCCGATGACCAATTACCAGGAACTCCACCAGAAAGCAGTGTTTTTATATTTCCAGAAATATTAATCGTTGACGATTTATGCCAGGCACAAGGTATATTCATATTTATAGTACTATTGATTTTTTCTTTTATAGGATCATATAGATCAACTGTCTTATCACGAGCAATTAAGAGAACATTTGTAGAAAGACGATCAATAGTATGATATGCTCTGATGCGTGTCATATTTCCTTTTCTAATGAATGATCTATTTGCAGATACAAACATTTTTATAGATGATTGACTTTCACCACCTATAATAAGAACATTGCCTGTTTCTGGTATATATGTACTTTTTATGACTAACTCTTCTTACGCTCATATTCTGTATTTGACGCCATACATTTAATTGAAGTGTCTGTGTAGATATATCATTCGTAGTTTGTTCAGCTAAATGAAATAATAAAAATCAAAATAAAATTCTCGTAATAATTGGATGAGTTCATCTTGATTATTGTTAATAAATTGAAATATTAAAAACTTTATTTTAAATCGAAAACTATCCTGCAAAATGACCTTAACCAAATAAACAGACTTACTTGTTAATTTTGTACTAGCCATTGGTGAAGTATATGTATTGGATACAATGTTTGTTGTATATCACCCTGGCGGAAATAAACGACACACTCTTTTTTCGATCGTTACTTACCTAAACGATAGAATTTGTAGCTGAAATTTATATCATATATAGTACATTGAAGGACTGAACTGTACATCATATCATTGATCTTGAACTACATTAGCTTGTAAGTAAATCAGGCAATATCTTCTATCTGATTTCATGCCTTTGTAAAGATGCAATTTTTCGTGGAAATATTTTCAATTTTTTTTGTGCTTTTTAGTGATATTTTTATTCTATTTCAGTAAGAGCTACATGTATTTTATTAAAGAATTTTTATACAATAAGAGAAAAATGTTTATTCAAATATCACGCATCAACGTCCCAACCTTGAGCAGCAATTATCATTTGAATAATGGTACGAACATGTTGTATGTAGACTCGAATAGTGATGATGGGAATTTCTTGCCAGGCTTGTCTGACCAAAACTTCTAAATGTCGTTGTGATCTTGGATGACGAGATTGAACATAACGATTCATCCAGCCCCAAACTGACTCTATAGGATTCAGTTCAGGACTAACTGAAGGATAATCATCCATACAATCAATACCAAAAGACGCCAACCAATCATGTACCATAATACTATTGCTCCATGTCGTTCGATCATGAATAAATGAATAACCATGTAATCTTTGTTGATAATTACCAAGTGCAAGTTGTACCTGTTGTAAATATGTTGTGGAGTTACTAGATCCTTGAATAAAAACCAAATGAGATCGTTGATTAAACCAGATGGCTCCAAAAACCGTAACTTGATATTTCACTTGACCCACAAATGTTCTTGGTCGAGGAGCACCAATTGGTACCCAATAAACAAAACCAGCTTGATCTACTTGAAATTTTTTCTCGTCGGTAAAAATAACTTGTCGCCAATTGTTCAATCTGTGTGTATAACAATATTGAAAACAACGTGCAGCTTGATGTTCATTTATCTGCCAGTGCGCTCTGGCATGAACTGGATGGAAGTTTTCGTTTCGACAGGCTTCACGTATTGTTCGAGCACTAACTGTCACACCACTATGCTGCTGTAATCGATTCGCAATTGAAAATGATGTATCAGTAGGATGTTGAGACATTATTTGTCGAAAATATCGTCGAACTGGACCATCAATTAATCTACGTCTTCCTCTTCCTTGTCGTTCTATCACATCATGTGTTTCTTCATATAACTGTATAATATTTCGTACAGTACTAAATGAACAATTTACTCTTGAAGCAATCGTCCTTAAAGACAAATGTGAGTCTTGATGTAGTGTTATAACTGTCCAACGTTGACGTATCGAAAGATGTTCAGCCATATTTTTCATTATCTTTCACTTCACTCAATTATATTATATATCGTACATTCTATTCCTCTCAAAACTAATCACATGATACATGAATGGTTCCTACAGATGTCGTATCTGTGACGTTATAACCAAATAAAAATATCATTGAAAAGCACAAAAAAAATTGAAAATATTTCCACGAAAAATTGCATCTTTACAAAGGCATAAAATCAGATAGAAGATATTGCCTGATTTACTAACAAGCTAATGTAGTTCAAGATCAATGATATGATGTACAGCTCAGTCCTTCAATGTACTATATATGATATAAATTTCAGCTACAAATTCTATCGTTTAGGTAAGTAACGATCGAAAAAAGAGTGTGTCGTTTATTTCCGCCAGAGGGATATAAAATGATAAAGATCTAGAATAATTCTTCATAGGGATCCCTGTCTGATCAAGTATAAAACAAATATAACCAATATATCATGAAGTCGGAAGATCAATCTGTTCGATCTGGTATATTATCATTTTCGAGACTATTTCTGCTTCCTTTTTTTTATCTGAAACGTTCCACTTATTAATGAACTTATCGAGACATCGATTTATTGGAAATAATACCATATATGACAAAAAATATAGCACAACAGAAACGAGGACTAGCAAGTAGAACACATGAAGTAATAACTAAAAAGAAAATACAAACACATCGATCGTAAGATGATACTTGTGATCCTTTTTCTTCCAGTTCAAGACTTGCTCAAACAACTGTTAAAATAGCCATATAGAAACAACGAAATACGGTTGAAATTAAATAAATTGTAAAAGTCCACAAACGTTCAGAACGACTAGTATCTTTCGAACACTGTTCGAAATTGAAACGGACAGGCATTTCCCAACCGGTTGTCCTTTGAATTTGTATTTGATTTGTCGATGGATCAGTAATGGTTGAATTTCCAAACAATACAGTAGATAAAAAATCGAAATAATTATACTCATTTCATAAAGTGTTTGACGAAATTGAGATTCTGAATTAAGTAATAATGTTAAGAGAGAACTACCATTTGTACCAATATACATAGAAAGACGATAAATGAAGATTCCAATTCGATATGCAATCAATTTTGTCTGATGATCAGTTTGAGTGAAATAAAACGTGATAAGATAACATAAAAATTGAAGTCCAAAGAATGTTAATGAAATAATCAAAACTATCAATGTACGTTCAAGAACAAGTAAATAACAGAAAAGTTCACCGATTTCATTTAAACATGAAATTCCTATTTTGATACGTTCACTCAAAAAGATTGATTTGAAAAGATTCGCTGCACTAATACCAAGAATAATAAAGAAAAATTGTCGTTTTTTATACTCATCGAGTTGTTCTGCTTTTTGTGCAAAATAAATCCCAATTTGTCCACATAAATTAAGAACATCGACAATAATAGACGCTATGATAGAGCAACGTTTTTCTATTGTAACAGACATGATTCACTATCGTTCGAAATTCGATTAGAAATCCCAAAAATACAAATTGTTTTATATTTCAAAAAATATTCTTTAAATGACAATTTATAAACGTGGAAAGAACTGGTTGCTATGTTTTACAGCTATATTAACAGAAAGAAAAACAAAATTATTCTATTTTTCTGAAATAACAAACAAGTTAACCGTGTTTCTTTTATGTTATTAAAATAAATGAACTAACTTCAAATAACAATATGTTATATGAAATAGTAGTTGTGTATAGAGAAAATCTTTATTTCATTATGTTTATATAAAATATGATTATGATTAAATATGAATAAAATCTTGATTAAATGTTAGGTAAAGAAAGTCATAAGTCTTTTTCTTTTATTTGAGTATATTGTTTGTTTCACTTGATATACGTAATTCAAAGTTTCCATAAGCACATTTTTGATGACGAATAACGATTCGATGATTACCTTTCATTAATCGATAACTAAGTACAGCAGCATAACAATTAAGATGAGATATACTATTTCCATCATCATTCTGAGCTATTGGTGAACCAATATTTGTTTCTGGTGTAAATAATTCTAGAAGAGGATCAGCAGTACCCGATATTTTCCAAGTAGAACAAGAAACCCAAGTATTAGCTACAATTGTTACATCAGCAAAAGTAGTATTAACCGTGAAGCAAAATGCATGATTTGGTTGAACAATACTACTTGTAAGATTGAGTATAGTATTGAATGTTAACCATTTGGGACAAAATTTATTTGATACATTGTTGTTTATTGTTGTCGTTATTGGTTGTGCAATACGAGTCGTTGTAGTAGAGATTGATTTTGTTGTTGAAGTTGTAATAACATTAGTAGTGACTGGTTCTTGTGTTGTAATTCTTGCTGATTCAGTCCAAAATTCCCAAAAATATTTATCAGTAATTGGACTTGATTCAATTCCACATGATTGATTGATAGATACTACGCCACTATCAAATAAAATATAATAGTGTGCATCCTAAAATAGGTTTGAAATACTTAGAATGTCAAAAATCGAACTGTATAGAAAGTTCCTACTTCTTCCCAAGTCATACTGCCTGTATTGATTAGAATTCGTCTTGATTGATATATAACATTGTTAGCGGTACTGATACGCAGTACTTCTTGATCTGTACCTCCAATGATTCGTTTGAAATATCGAATATATGCAATTGCTTGTATCGAGGGTACTATGTTTTGATCAGTTGATATCGACCAGATAGCTTGATTTCGTGATACAAGTCCTCTGGGTGTCATTGATCTATCGACAAATTGAGGTGGAGCTATATCGACTTGAAATGTATAACAGACTTGTTGTCCCGTTTGTCCGATAGAATCGACTGGAGTCAAACAGAGTTGATGAATACCATATTGATGTGGTCGAGGAGTCCATTGAATAAACATGATATACGTATTATTATCATTTGGATCTAATGTAATTGAACTTTTAGTCATACCAGATGGTGAAATAGTAAGAATATCTGTAATGATAGTACTCGATTACTCTACCACCGATTGTTTTAATATGATTTAATAATTTACCTAATGCCTTGTTAGAACTCATATCATATGTTTTAGTAGATATATTCTTGAGAGCTGTCTCAATGTCAGAACTCTTTAATGATTGAATTTCCTGAGCAGAAGATCGAAAGTAAGGTTTCGTAGCTATAAGTTGAGCATGAAGGCAGGCATCACGTCTTTGCAAGATATTAAAGACTAAAAAAATGAAACTGTGATTCTTTTCAAAACGCCGATCATCATATGATAGAAGATAACGTATATGTTCTCGAAGGCTTATGTTGATTGACTTTGATTGATCTTCAGGTGTGCCACGTCCATAACAAAACAAAGCTGGATATAGACCTGCTAATAGTTTTGGGTTAAAATATTCATTGGCAGGTTTGGAAGAATGAGGAATCAAGTAAACTCTTTCAACATCCATTTGATTATCTGTTCCATCATTTTTTATTTTTGTCAAAATATAATTGTTAATTTCATCTGAAGATACTAATGAACCATTTACATCAAGAACAGCACTAATGAGAAGAAAAACATTACTATCTCTAAGAAATTTTCGTAAATAATGTTATCTACCTGTTGTTAATAGGAATGCTATCTGAATTAACAGATTCTACTGGATTTAATAAAGGATCAGGAATGTATCCAGCTCTTGCAGATGGTTCCTGTTCATCACCTATTTTTTGTTCCATTGTTAGCATAATAGATTCTGGTACATCGTCCTCAGGTAATTTCATAATATTATCCATATTTATTTCAATATTTTTATAAAATATATTATTATTTTTTAACCAATACAGCGCTTGAGCAACTTTTTTCTTTCGTACTGTTAGAACTCTTTTTAGTTGAATACGCTGAGAAGGACGAGCACCGATAAATATCACTTTAAGTGTGTCACATAAATCTTCCATGGTAAGTGGTAAGCTGTTAACAATATTTGGTGTATTTTGAAGAAAAGTGATACAGTTGCCTTTTAATGCACCTTGTGCAGTGGTTGATGTATGGAAAGGTGATTGAAGTTTTATTACACAGCTATTTTGTCGATGGAGGGATATCAATTTTTCTTCTGGAATTGTTAATCCTTGCAATTCAATAGGCACATCACCTAACCACATGTTGTTCGCTGGTGAAAATTTTGGAATTTTTTCTTTCGACAAAGATTCATAACACTTCAGACAAATAATACACATATTAGTTCTGTTTTGTTGAAATAGACCATTTTTGTAAAAAATAATTCCATTCTCACAATAGTAAGAGGATGAATTAGATGTCGGTGAACCTAAAACAGAATTCGTCTTCTTTGTAACTTATAGAGTTTGAGGTTTTTTATCTTTTCGAAAATAAAAATATTTTAGTTTATGTTTTGTATAATATTACCGTTAGAATTTTGTAAGTTTGAGTATTGAGTGTTGGTGACTATATTTTTGAGTCAATCGGAAACTTTGAGTAAATGTAGATGAGGTATTTCCGATGTTGCTATTTTTTTTGATTGTTGTTCTGGAGTACGAATATTGCAGATTGCACAAGTAACTTCAGCTAGTGCTGACATAGACATTCTTTGAAGAAATTGCTGCAAGCAAGCTTCTTTTAACGCAGTAGGAATCGGTGCAGGCCATGCTGAAGAAGTTTGGTTTTTTTGAATACTTGTCATTGTTTCATTTAGAAAAAAATCATTTGTAGAGCCACCAACATTACGAAAATTATTTCGATTTCTGCTTGAGTGTGCATGAATACTATGTCCTTGAATATCGGTGATATCAGACGTTTCCTTGTCTAGTCTTTTGTTGGTTCTGTTTGCTTGACTTCGTATTCGTTGATGATTAATTCGAATTTGATGCTCTTCATCTGTTTCATTCATTCGAATAGACTCAACACATTGTCTATTCTGTTCGAGTCTACTTTCACGTTCAGTCTCCGTCTCATTCATTCGAATAGACTCAACACGCCGTCTGTTCTCTTCGAGTCGACTTTCACTTTCATTCAAAGTTTCATTCATTCGAATAGATCGGACACGTTCTTTGTTTTGATCAAGTCGATTTTGACGTTGTCCTTCAACTTCACTTGCTCGTCTTGATCGAGCGCGTTCTTTAACTTTCACGAGCCGATCTTGACGTTGTTGATCTGTCTCACTATTTCGCCTTGAACGAGCACGTTCTCTTAAAATAGAAAGTCGCATTTGACGTTTTGGTTCATCATCTTTCGAATGCTGTTCGATTGCGTCCAAATTGATTAATTGAATCTGATCACCGCTCATGCGGCTGTCACTACGTAAACGTCTACTAGGAGACGATTCAAAGTCGGACAGACGTATTTGAGCAACAACGTTATTTTTAACCGTTTTCTTCTCAGGAGTCTTAAGAAATGAAAAAAATTTTTCAGAATCATGATAACCCAATTTCAAAATCCAATCACTTACTTTAGCCAGTGATATTCTGTGATTGCTGCTACTAGATCCAGACTGTAAACTAGGCAACAAAAGTGAAACAAAGTGATTCGGACTCCATGTGCTATTATTCACCGCACGCACATCCATTTCTTTCCAAAGGTTGCACCACAAAATCGCGACTTGATAATTAGCGACGATTGGTGGAATAGGTTGAAATATGCTATTCATGACAGCCATATCATCGCGAAAATCAATTTCAGGATACACACTTCGTATATTGCATTTCAATATACTGCATAAAGCACAAATTTCATATAATTCAGAATATGTACGATTTCTGCATATAGCTTTAATAGCTATGTCAATAGGTTGGACCACATATGTATAAGCATTTCCATAAAAATCTTGATTCGTTACCAGTTCAATAATCGTGCGAACTATGCATTTGTCAATCAGTTATTTCTTAGGCAAATACAAATCGAGTACGTTTACTTACCTCGTAGTTCACTTGTCGTTAATGTTGAATTATTCATTAACAGAAGAATAGAATGGTATAAACAGTTTCCGTCACCATCAACATCTACTGGAATAAGATGCTGCACATCAGTCGCTGCCTTTTCTAAATATTGCTTTGCAACTAAATCCACCACATGGATTCTATCGTCGAACACACCGTATGGACGAAATTCCAATGGTGTCATTATAGATTCGATCTGAACACAACAAAACAAACACTTAGAATGATGAAAATATAGCCTTACTCGACGAATTCGATGAACAGCACTCCCAATCTCCTCATAATAAGCCACTCTTTCCGAGCATCGCTCCAAAAGCCGAAGTAATCGACCAAATTTCTGACCACGGCTCATTCGATCACAAGCAGAACAACAGTAATTTGTACATTGGGAACAACAAAATATGCATTCGACGGTCATAATGATATATTCGAAGATGTAATACTATTTAATAAATCTAGAACAAAATTATATCTAAAACAAGATTAATAAACAAAACTCCATTTAATACGTTTTCAAATTGTTTTCATATGCGTTTTTCATTTTTTAATGCCAATCCATATATAACATTCGACTACAAATCTTCCTTTGAAACCTTTATCGTCTCACTCCACCTCTCATGCAGAAGAAATTTATCTCACAATTACCCTTTACGTACATCAATATATGTGCACAAATGAATCTGAAAGACATGCCTTTCTCTTTCACTAATTTTCTTTTTACACAAATATCTTTCACTTCGAACTTCAGATTCATACACCACACTCAATCCTCAATCCCACTATCTAACTTGTATCGACACAAGCAATTTTTAGCAGCGAACAAATTACCATTCCTTCAACTTACCTCTACCTTTCAACATTACATGCACAATTTGCCTTCACAACGAAAACATCTTCTATTTGAAGAAAAGTCTCCAATTTTGTAGATGATTCTGATAGAGAATTCAATTTTGAATCTAAATCTGTCACTTTCAGTCCATAGAACAGCTTCTAACCAAGTCAAATATCCCTTCTCTTCAATTTCATCTCATGTATGCATATGGTAACAGCAGAAATCGAAATATTTTTTTCGTTGAAATTTTTTGTGAAAAAGGGTTTATTTTGTAGATGGGTCGGATAGAGAATCATTTGCTGGGTCTGAATACGTAGGTTTGACACTATAAAAAGGTTTTCTGATAGAGAGATTTTTTTACTCTTCTTACATGTATGTGTTACGTTGATGAAACGTAATTAGGTACTAATATTTTTTGCTTTAGATTGTTGTTGAATTTAGTTGAAAATTGATTAATACAGCAATGGTTCAGTGACGTAGGTAAGTGGGAGATTTTTTGTGGTAAAATATTTTCGTTGAGTTGAGAGTGTATCTTCTGGTAGTTTCAGAATGATTCTTATACATAGATCTATTTGAAGAATCACATCAAAATGTTTCATTTTTCTTTTTGTTCTTATTGGTTTTCTATTTGAACGGCAAACTCCATATTTATATAATGATATTTTCATTCATGGGTGGATTGTGTTGTGTTATTGCGACATTCGTGTTCGGCGTCAGCGATGATCATGTTCCAGAAGATAACATAATATTTTATTCAAATGAAGAAATCAAAAACGAAAAATGCCTGCGAGAATATAGGTATGTGTAAAATATGTTTTGCACTCTAGATAGTGCTAAAGTTTTTCTAAAAAGAAACTTGAATTGTTTATGTTTAAGTTGAGAAGACGATCATTTCTGATAAAATTATTTGATGTTGATTTTTTCGACCACCGTATACGTGCCTTCTAATTCTTTTTCTTCGTCGATAATGTCGACGATATCATATTCATCATTGATGCTATGTGTATCGTCCTCTTCGTTGGCTATAAACTCGTACACTGTGTCGCTATAATCATTACGATCGTCATTGTGATCATCATCATCGTCGTCGTTAATCATTTCCTCAACAAATGCCGGGATCTATTTAAAAATAAAGCGTAACTCTTTTACGTGGCAAATCCCCAAACAATGTTATTACTATTCCTGGAATGACGACATCGCGTTGCATTAAACTACATTCTGGTAGCCAGACATTAGGAAACAATGGTGGCCATTTTATGCAACAGCGTTTTTTCTTTTCCAGATCTACGAAGTAAATTATATGTGTGGTGAATCTTTAATCTTTTCAAATTTTAATCTTACAATGGGCCACCGTGTGCGTGGTTCGGTAGATTGGTTCACCATTCAAGTGTCCTATCAAGAAGAGAGGACCTGCATCATCGTGGCCATCATAAACATCGGTTATATATATTGGCGATGGTACTACCTGTGCGTCTTTATTCATTAAGTGCCCAAAGTGACACATGTTATTTGCAATACGTTCGTTGATATACTCCGGTGTGAAATTTCCGTTCATTATGGAAAAAAATGCTTAAAATAATTTTAGCAATGAGTAGAACAATGATCAACAATATACTCAAATGAGAGAAGTCAAATTTTTTCATTCTATTATATATATATATATATATATATGTATGAATAGCTTTTGCTACTTATATGTCAAATTTTATTCGCGTATCAGAACAAATAAACATTTCAGCATGATATACGTGTGCTGTTCCAAACTATACACTATATGAGTGCAATGAATTTGATATGTTTCTTTTTCAATGAAGCCAACTTTTCAAAAAAAGACATGTTGCTGCCATCTTTATCTTCCGTGAGTGACGTCGTCCCGATACACAGTTTATATCTACTAGCATGTTGCTTATTTTTTATTTTATTCAAACGAAAAAGAAATGTTCTATTTCAATTTTTTAAAGATAAGTGCTGACTGAAAACGTGTTCCGAAGTAAATATAACTAATAAGTATACAACTACTGCTAATATAACTGAAAAATTAAAGAAAAGGATAAAGTTTTTTAATATAATATTGCTGTTTTTTCATAAACTGCTGCAAAATAGTTGTTTCTTTATTTAGCTAAATCCGTTTTATCCTTCTTTTTCTGACTAATATCATTGACCTGAACAATACAGTAAGCATTAGGTTGATTTTGTTCACATTTTTTCTGGAATTCGTTCTCATTCGTATTTGTATCACAATCACTTTCGTTATTGTAATTTTTTGACTTTTTTTTGTCGATCTCCTTAAATTTATATTTAATCATAGTATTTCGAATGTATAATAAAGTTTTATTTTTTTTACCTGTTGACAAAATGAAAGTTCGCTTGATTCGTAATTTTTCTCTGATCCTTTGTTATTATTTTGTTTGCAATCATCTGATGAAATAAATGATAGAAAAAATACATTCAAAAAATTCACTTTCGGTTTAATTTTATTTACTGCTTGACAGAGTAACTGATTGTTGACTATCATCATAATTATTAGATTCTGTTGATGATTCAACAAGACATGATTCTTTTTCTCCTTCGTTTTGTAATTCTAAATTACAAAGAAAACATTTATTCATTAGTCTTTGTGATAGGATATTCACAACCATCGATTTCTTCCAATGGATTTAATTCAAATGGATATCCAGCTCGAAACTCTTCATCGTCATCCCAATCTATTGGCCATGATTTGAAAATGACTGATGGTGCATCAGTTTGATTTTCTTCGATACGATCCATTGTAATTTTTCTTGTGCTTCTTTTGTGTGCAATTTTGAAAATAGCTAGAACAGAAGAGCATCACGTTAAATGACATTAAATTATCTATAATATACTCTTCCATTTCACACTATCTATGTATACATATGTATATCAAGATCAATGTTATCTTACCCCCAACCGATGTGTTGATTGATATGCAACAATTAACAAATGCTTGTGAAAAAGAATTTCGTTAACGACTAATTTGATCTAAAAGAAAAAAGAATGATCTATTGCTAATGATATTGATAACTATATATATCTAACTAAAAGCGTGATTAACATAATCTTTCTTTTCATTTGAATACTGGAAAAAAACATACTGAAAATACGATAGATGAATGATCATGCACAAAAAAAAGGAAAAAAATGGTTCAATGTTTTTTTCCGACGACTATTCAAGATATTAGTTGATACCATGTGTACGTTCAAATTCAAGCGTGAATGCCAATAGCTCTTCATCACTAATTTCTGGAATTGGTACATTCATTAGTGCTGATGCAGTAACAAATTTAGCTGGAGCATTATTTTCAGCAGAATTCATTGGAGTTTTTCTTTCAAGTACAGGTGTTTCAATTTTCATTTTCTTTGCTTGTTCATCTAAATCATCGGTAGCTGATCGTTTTGCTGCATTATTTGATGGTGGTGACGTTGGATTTGACATTTTAACAAATTTAATTGTTGTAATTGTAAGTTTTAGATAATTGAAAAGCTTTGAAATATTAATATGAATAATCTAAAAATACAGGAAATAGTTAGCTATAATTAAATTACGAACAATAATTGAATAATTGAATTAGTATTTTGGAAGCCTTATTGTATTGTTTATATACTAAATGTAAAGATAATGAAAAGATAAATGAATTTCATGCATTAAAAAGTAATTGAAATAGATGTCTATTAATTTTTTTCAGAACAAATTTGTTTGATGAAAGCCTCTTGAAGGAAACAAGGATCAACATTAAAGAATGGTAATATGCTCGGTTCGCGTGTAATGGTTGCAGTTTGAAATTCTCCATCATCATCCAATATTTGTCGTGTTTCTACTGTTTTCGTGTCGAATACCGTTTTAACCATGACATCAGAATAGCATGCAGTATTGAATGATTGAGGTTCGAGAAAAACAAAACCTCTTTGACAGTATCGATTAATTCGATTGTAAACGCATTTTGTCATATCTTCATATAGAGTATAGCAAATAAATGATTTAGTTGCAATGGCTTGAAGAAAAGCAAATGTGCATACTACTTGTGAACCTATTTCGAAACAATTCAGTTAGTTTTATTTTATTTTATTTTTTACTGTAACTAACCTGTATATGCAATTTGACTAATGTCGATATCACTCGAGTGAAGGACATACGATATTGGAGCTATTGCATCAGGAACATATTTAAAACGAAAACATAATGTGACACCAACATGTAATTTGGCGAAATAGATGCCATTATCTTTTTGTATCAATGTGTTATTTGAACGATAACTATTTTTTTTCGAAATAATTAATGTCAAATTGGCAAATGTACTGACAACAGCATGTTTGAATTCATCATACGAATCTCCGTTAAAATTCAAATCCACTTGCTGATCACAAGTATCGAGAAATGGTTCACAACAAAGACTATTTAGTATAGAACCACCGGATATGTGAAATATATTGAAATCAATTGCTTCAATCCATTCATCAGATTTAAAACGACTTTCAAAGTTCATCATAAATTGAGTAATTGTTTGAACAAAATTCAACTGATTATTTTCATTATTGTGATTTTGTGAGCAAAAAGACGTAGACTCTAAATGCAGACAAAGTTAGACATAGAAAAATGTTTATTTCATGTTTTATTCGATATATAAAGTCTTCATATCGATTTTAATATTTGTTGTCTTTTTTCTTCGAATTATTTTATAGTAAAATTTTATTTCGTTAGATTCTTACAGTTGACATGACAGACTCAAATTAATTTTCTTTTTATCTCTTTCTGATGACTTAATTGTTTTCTTCTTTTTTCTTATTTCATCAGACAAATATCCGCCAACATAATCACACACTAGTCTGACACAGAAAGGTCATTTCTTTTTTTTTACCGTTCGTCCGTTCATCCGTCTGCTTCTATTTGCCCGTCGTTCTCGTTCTCTTTCCTGTTCTCATCACTCATGAAGTCATCTATTAATCAGCTGTATGTTATATATATTACATTTAAATCATTATACACAACAGGGGGCTTTTTGTCTTTCATCATCAGAGTCAAAACTGAAAATTTATTCGCTTTTTCTTTTCTTTCCTTTTTCATATCTTATCTATCTTATATTCTATTTTTTTAAATATATATTTGGTTGTATTTACATTCTTTTCATTTTAATTAGCTAGGGAACCTTTTTTTGAGAAATCATATCTTTGAAAAGATATTTCTCGTGTTTATTGAGTTCACGTACAGAACCAATTGAATCTTTATAATTGAAATAATCAACTAAGATTAAATTACCAACATATGGATGGCAATTGAATGGTAATAAACGACTGTGGCATCGAAAAGCTTCAGTTTTGTATGTGAAACATAACATTTCAAATGCATCTACTGTAAAAGTAGGATGAATGAATATACGAATCGGTGGACATTCTTCTTGACAATATTTTTGAGTATACAAATATCCTTGATCATCAATGTACAGACTGTCTAAGCAAGCAAAATGATATGGCATTTTGATTTTGATGGTTTTATTCTTGGAGATTTTCATGAAAACAACATTAAAAAAATGATCTTCGTTTATTTCGATTACACCAAATTGCTCAGACCGATTTACAGCTTCCATGAAATTAATAGCATCTAAACCTTTAAGTTTGTTGATCAACATATATCTTACATCTCGATTAAGTACCACTATTTTTTCATGCGTTGCGGTTGTGCAATTTAATGGTGAGATTTCAGTCATGTTGAAATAAACTATATGAAAAATCTGAAAAAATGAACAAAGCAATCGAATAGAGTAATAAAATTTTTATTATTATTAATACGTGTACAAAACGTATTTCATTGATGAGGAAGATCGTACTTTTGTTAAAAATGAAAAAATATCATCCTTAAAAAGCTAAATAAATAAATTATGTACCAATGAATAATAAAATTCTCTCAATAAGTTCGTTTTAAGCATAGTCATGCGTATAAATGCTGAAGATGATACGAAAAAAGAACACTTTGTTTATAATGACACAATAAGTACAAATTATCTTGTTTTTTTATTCATTTGATATCAACTCGTCATTGGTCCCACTCTCACGTTTGTGTCTAAGAAACTAGTTCGTAATAGTTTTGTAAATTAAGAACTGAATAAATCATATAGATTTTTTCTCAATTCATAAGGTTTCGAATGTTTTATTTTTTTTAAATTATTCATATTTATATCCGAACATCTACAATACGTATAATTGAATATCATTTCTGATAATGTTATTGTGTCTTTCTCTTTTGTATCAGTTATTAACGCCGATAGCTATATCTTCTTGAAAAGATACGGTCATCATATTCGACTCGTCAACTAATTATTTCTTCGTCGTTCATGTACATTCATTCCATCCGTTCGTCCGTCCGCGCATTTATTTTGCTCTTCCTCTTAACATGTGCGCATATCTCTTTTCATTTTATCATTCTGCTCTTTCTAATCAGATTTTTTTTCTCTATTTACTCTATCTGATATGGTCAGTTACTAAATACTTTTTACTTCCACAACGCTCACTATTCAGCGTAAAAGACTAATATAAAACACTGAAGACGATTTCATTTATTCTTTTTGAAATGAAAAAAAAATATTTTGAAGCGGGTACAAAGTATTTCAATGTAATGTGAAAAGAAAACTATTTGATACTATTGACATGCAATAGATGACAAAAAAAATTTACAAATATTAATGAGATAGTTTTGTAAGTTGATATACTAATTTTGATGACAAAGTAATTGATGACTCATTATTAATTTTCGATAAGATATGTTGAGCAGATGCCATTTTCATTATAAATGATCGTTCATGACTAACAGCTAATCTAAATTCATTGATATCATCAGCAACATTAGGCCATGACAATGTAACACCAGCAGATAGAACATCCTTTATTTTAATAGATGTAGCTGCTTTTAAGTAAGATGCCGTTGCATGCGCTTGTAATAAACGGTCCAATACGACATCATAATCCATACCATTTTCTATAGTTGATGAGAAATATTCTTTTTGTCTCTCTGTTATGAAATCAAAAGATACTTACTAAAAAGTTGATAAACATCATTAGCCACACGCTGAGCTGTTTTCATAGCATCAATACATGATTGAACATTGTCTACGAGTTGCTGTTTGTTCTTCAGAGTTGAAAAAAAAAGATAATTGATAATGTAACGAAAAATCTTTTTTATCGTTTATATTAAAATGCCTTACAAAGTTTGATGTTTGAAACATCAGGGGGCAATTCAACGACTTGATTATTAATTTGTTTAGGTGAACATATAACGGTATGACAATTAGTACCAGGAGTAGACGTAATGATGGTTGCAGCTGATACATGAGTCTTTTTTTCGTCACATCGTTTAGATCGACATTGATATTGAATTTCATCAGCAGAACGTGATTGAAAAGGTTTCATGGTTACATTTCGAAGTCGTTTGCAAATTCGACCAGCATATGTAATATCAGCATCGGATGCAAAACTAACGTAATAAACATTTCCTTTTAATGATCGTCGTTTCTCATAAGATACGATGCGTAATTTTGATTTTAATTCAGCAGAGAATTTGTTTGTGTAAAGAACGCGTTGGTACTTCATCAACTAGTAAATAAAACGACATCATTGTATACAAAGTTTATAAAAATTCAAATAATAAAGACTAGCTTTTCTGCTTTATTTGAATTTTCTGACATTCATGTGAAGAATATCTCTTTTCATTTTCAATACTTCTATTTCTTATCCCAAAAAACGATACTTTCCTTTTTATTGCCATTCGATTTTGTTATCAATTGTGTTGAATCATAGTCGATATCGAAAATTCAATTTCTAATCGAATTCATTTTTGCTCGTTTTGGTTCATAATGGAGCATTTTTGTTCGGAATAATGATTCAATTTCACTTTCAGGTGATCAAATTCGTTTCGATTTATATTCAGTCATATTTTATCGATAATGCGATGGATGAGCTACATTGTTGCTCGATTATTGTGTTTATCTACCTATGTCTGTTTTCATTTTTATTACACTCAACAGCACCATATTTCTATTCGTATTGTTTCTACGGCACTCAAAAATTGACTTCTATTTTAAGTGATAAGTGACAGCCTAATTTCAGCTATTAAATTGTTTTCTTAACGAAACAGTTTCTCTTTACTCTTCTGTATTATTTAACTACAACTCGAAGTCTTGGCTCGCTCATGCCTATCATTCAAATACATGTTCTTTTTTTTATTTAACTCATTGTATATTTATATATTATTCTAGTTCTTCTGCAAGTGTTTAAATCTGTAACTCATTAAACTCTGTCACATCAATAAATCATATTGTAGCTCATGCGAGCCACTCGTATTTTCCCCCAACAATGGAAATCATAGTGCTAGTCTAGGACCAGACTCATCTATACTTACAAAATGTAAAGATCAATTGATATCGTTCAAATAATTAGACGTAAATATTCATCAGCTTGTACTCTACAGTAATAGTATATAAATCTATGTAATAAAAAGATCAGAAGACGTTACTTTGTTCAGCTAAGTACTTATTATCTTGTTGAATCAGTTATAAATTTGTCGAAAAATGGAACAGTACCGAATCGTATTGCGGTCGATATTTAATCTACTTGTTCCCTTTATATACACTTTTTTTTGGTTCTTCTTTTTTCTTTTTCTCCACGAAGTTAAAATTTATATTATCGATTATCTTCAAATATGCAGTTAGATACACAACAGCCTTGATTATAGCACGTATCTCTTATTCCAGATCGTGATACAAAGCTATCTAAAAATACAACTATTTCAAGGTTACAAAAAACACATTTTCGTTCCAAATATATCTTCGACAGAGAATATCGATGTAGATTTCATTAACTTTAACATCTTAACACTAATTTCAGGTATATAATGGCATATTATAACACATGTGCCAAATTGTCAATACCATAGTCGAAGAAAATTTAAGAAAAAAAGATGGAGCTAAAGTCGTTCGTTCTCTCTCTGTATGAATGGACAGTGCACAGAGTAATGTTAAAGAGAGAAATTCTCTCTATTAGAATATTCTTTTCAAATTGAAAGAAATATATTTTTTTGATTCATAATTCAATCTACTTTCTTATAAATCTGTTTAAAAATTCATATTTCGAAAAACGACGAAAATCAAAGAAAAAAAAAGATGGTGCTAAAATCGTTTGTTCTATTTGTGTGCATATTTAGTACATATGATAACGTTGAGAAGATAATTTTTTTCAAAATGAGAGAAATATTGTTTGATTCACAATTCCATGTAGTTTTACATGAACCTGTTGGTTAAAGGAAATTTTCAAATGAAAAAACTAATAATATACAAAAATGGAGCTGCCGATACTGATGTAGTAAAATTAGAGTAGGTTTTTGAATAGATGTATGGCAAATAAAAGAACTATTTTTTAAACGTTTAAAGCACATGCATTTATTGGAATTATCAATATGGTAGCAAATTCATTAGAAAGAAAACATGGATTAAAAAAAGAAGCCAGATTAAGTGGTACGATTAAAACAACAAAGTATGAAAAAAATTAAACTAAAACTACCGAAAACGTAAACAAATTGAAAAGCAATGTTCTTTTGAAACTTTTTCTCCATTTTGATCAAACCTGTAAATTTGATTCTAAAGATGGTAAGACAGATGCAAATTTTGTTGGTAATGCTGGTGACCGTGGTGAATGAGTAATTTTGTTGGCAAAAATTTTGCTCAATTCCATAAACTGGCTTTGTACTTTACTGTTTTTCTTTCGATGACAGTAAATCGATAAAGCACAATATAATAATGCAGCTGATCCAAAGATGATGGCAATAACAACCATATATGAAAACCAATTTTGTTGCATATCTTTTAACCAGGTTCCTGGTGCACTTAGAAGATCACGGGCGCTCGTGATAACTTTACTTGCAGTTTTGCCAACACTATTCATTACCGCTCGAACGGGTGTTTCTTCTCCTTTCGTTGTTCCGTCGACAATATGTAAATTAATACCTTCGGCATCACCTTGAACATGCATACTGTATGAATTTTTGGTTTCAGTATTGCTGATTTTGAAAGCCATATTCAATAGACAAAAAAATATCGGTATACGATGATACGAATAGCTGGATGTGTTTCAATTTAATTTATGTACGAAAAGCTAGCTTGTATTCTTTTTATATATAACTTCATATAATCTCAAAAATGGGAGAGAAAAAAAACAAACTTTTCTCTGTCATCACGTATCGATAAAAAGTCGTTCCATGATTAGTAAGAGTATGTGATTAATACTACTTGTAAAAGTACGATATGCTTTCTTCAAACGTGAAAATGAAAAAGTATCATTGAAAACAAAATATAATTGTTCAGTATAACTGCTAATTTTATTTCACAAAGATGAAAGAAGAACAAAAAAGAATGAAATATTTTTCAATTATAACTAATTCTATCTAATCGTTTATGTATTTTTATGCATGCGCAGATAAAACACCATGTAATATCTAGGATCATAAGACATGTTAAACCAAATATTCTTTCACATTGTTTTTTCGACCGCTTCCATCAGATGTTGAACAGTCGGTAGAACAGCTACATGGATCATCAATGACATCTGTTTCACCTGACACAGGTTGCCACTGTTTTAATATACATAGAATGAGAATGGTTAAAATCATTAGAATATTAAGCATAATAAGTGTATTATTGACCGTAAGTGTATGACGAAACTTTTGGATTCCAGTCATAATTTTTTCATCAATCATAGATGTTATATTATGAAACAGAGCTTCACTATTAATCCATATATTAACACGGCCTCCATTTATATGTGTACTGTAATGTGAACTAGTTGAGAAGAACGTACCCATCCTACATAGAAAGATGAAAGGCATCAAACATCAAACAAAATACAAGCACATTTCATATCACTTCCTCCTGTATTCCTTATTTTTTAAAATCTCGCTATTGTTCTACAAGTTGACTTACTAGAAAATATAACGTAAAATTTCGAAAGACTAGCTTTATTTGGAACGAGATGATAACGATGCACAACCGATGTTTCGATCAATCAAAAAGCCTAACTTAACTAAAAGAACAATTAAGAGAAAAAAAAATATTGTCAGACGTACGGTCAAGGATAATACGTGTTCGAATACTTCGTTTGATAAACGAAAAAGAAGTCCTTGTACTCTGCTGATAACTACTTTTAATCTACAGTCTGATCAACTAAATGCACGTACCCTTTTAAACTATTTGGTATGATACATTTACACTATTGAAACAAAATTTAGTCACGTAATCTACCACTACTCAGATATCACATTGTTCGTTTTCACCATAAAACCATAATTAAAACAATTACTCACATGAAACAATCTATCTTTTATGAACCAATAGACAAAAAACAGTTGACAACAATTGAGAATCCTGGAAAAGCATTTATTTTTCTTATGAAACAGTGAAACTACAACAGTATCTGTATTTGAAAAAATCAGAATACTATTCATCCATTCCTCTATCAAATGCAGATGTTTGCAATGAAATTTTGAAGAAAAAAAATATATCGATATGCTCAAGATATATGAGGTTGTTAGACATGTATTTTTACATGCAACTTAATTGAAAGATGAGGAACTTTTTCCATCTTAAATTTATTCTTGAGAAATCAAAGTTAGAGAGTATGTTCATTTATTACAGTTCTATTCTACTTCGCTGTTGCCGAAATAAACAATCCCCAAATGAAATCCAGTATCAATTTTTCAATACGCTCTTCAAATTCTAGATGAAATTGTGAATCAAAATATGTCGCTTTTCATTCAGAAAAAAGTTCGTAATACAACGAAATTAATTTAGCGGCCTCAATAAATGTACTAAACGTGTACATACACACCACAAACGATATCAGTAGCATGTTGTTCCGTCTTTGATTTTCATCATATTTCGAAATATCGTTTTTCAAATAGTTTCATGAGAAACTAGATTGAATTCTGAATTAGAGTTGATTTCTTTGAATTTGAAAATAATTTTCTAATATAGAGAATTTGTCTCTTCAACGTCGTCATACACAATGTATGTACAAACATACACAATACAAACGATTTTAGGACTATTTTTTCCTTCGCCGTTTTCTTCTTGTTTTGGAATTCGAATTTTGAAATAGTGTTACGAATAACTAAAGCGATTTCTAAATGAAAATGTACTTTTTTGAATTCGAAAATAATTTTCTGATAGAGAGAATTTCTCGGTTGAAAGTTATCATACACATAATATACATGTGGATATGTGCAAAGAACGATTGGAGAACGATCCGTTTCTGTGTGAGTTTATTTTATTTTCATAATTTAACTCGGAAACGGTTCGATAAAGCACTAGAGTGAATTGGATAGGGACGAATGTTTGTTTGCACTGAAAAATATTATTTTTTAGGCTGAAGATAGTTGGTGCCTATTAAGTGACGGTTTGTGTATACCTTCATAATAAGAACTGGTAGTTTTTACTGTGTTTTGTTTGATGATTTGCTTTTCTTCTTGTGTACTATTCTACGAGAAATGGGTTCACTAACCGCTTCGGCTGATTATCATTGTAACTGACTCCGACTGAGGGCTAGTCGACACCTTTCATTTTTGCTCAAACAAAATGCATAGGTGCGTGCAGGTTAACATCCTAAGGAACGAGGAATCAAATGAATGCTTACGATATGGTGAGTATTGTAGACTCAAAATAACTGTTAATTGGCTACAACCACTTCTAGAGAGATGCTTTAAGTTAAAAGAATACTGAGTGAATTAGCGGCTTACATTTAGATTCACTGTAGAAGATCTCTTCGCAATACGGAACCACTGAGCTCATAGGTGGTCTGCCGTTAAGCGCAACGATTTATATGTTTTCGGATTCAAGCTTTGGCCCAAGACACCTCTACCAGGATGAAAGCCTTCTTCTTCTATTGTATCCTCAAACATCCTCACACAAAGAAATACTGACTGTATACTAGATTAGAAATATGATGTCCTGGCCAATTCCTTACGTTTTCGTATTTGATCACATCAAATATCATGCGAGCAACTCATCGTATCAGATTGCCTCGCTATAGTAGGACTTGAAGACCCAAGAATACATCCGTAATATACTTTCTAAGGACCCATGGATAGCCCCGGAATATGGGACGTGAGGACCCGGGAGTACCCCCATCGTATAGGACTTGAGGACCCCAAGGTACCCCCAGAATATAGGACTTGAAGATCCACGGACACCCCCATAGTATAGCACTTGATGGCCCAAGAATATTCCCGTAGTACAGTATGTTAGGATCCAAGAGCATCTCCATCATATAGTATATAGGGACCCACGGGTACCAACTTAACATCGGACTTGAGGACGTGAGGGTACCCTTTAGAGTCACTGTTGTTTTGAACCCGTGAAAATCAGTCTTCCTGGATTTTAAAATATTTTTCAGCATATCTCAAAAAAATGTTTTTTTGACATTTGACCCTTGACCTGCGACAGACAAACAAACAAACAAACAAACGAGTTTCAATTTTTGACCCCACTTTTTTTGCACATCACCCTCCTTTCAGTCGAGGGAAAAATTAAGTTTTTCACTTAACCATAGAATTAAGTCAGAATTAAGTGTTAAGTGGCCAATACGAGATAATTTTCATTTCACATGAATATCTTCCGAAATAAAAGTGGATCTACGAAAAAAATCATTTTTTATTAGATTTTCAGAATAAATTTTGCATAAAAACTCCTTAAAATGATATTTTAAAGCCACAAAAGTCGAAGTTGAATTAGATATAGCCCATCTCAAAAGCTTAATTTCACTTAATTAAGTCGAAAAATTAAGCGTTAAGTGAGGTATTAACGCTTAATTCAAAAATTAAGTTTTGCATTAACATTAATATTAAGTATTAAGTAAAATGCTTAATTCCTCCGCTTAATTGAGTGAGATTAAAATAAAAAGTCCACTCCTAGTCACCAGACGTCCGTAGGACACAGCATTTTTGTAACCTGTAATCAGCTATATTATCACTATCGACAAAAAGTAACTAGAAATAAAGAAGATACAGTAAACTTTTTCTGTGGATCATGTTCGAAGTGAGTATAAGTCTGTTTACAATGCAACCTGGTCTGAGAAACCGATTTTTGCACGCAGAATACATTTCAATTTGGTTACTTCCTTATTAGAGACAATTGAATACTTTATTTTCGCCAACGATCAATTGCGTGGATTTTCATTAATATAACATGCCAGCTTTCATCTGAGATATATTCATCTAAAACATTTAGACTCTTCATTGTTTGAGTTCAATCCTTGTCTCAGGAAACGCATTGTTCTTCTAGAAATGGAAACCATTTAACTCGAATGAATAATTTCATTGTATTCGACCTTTAATTTGTATAGATTATTGCTTGGGTACGTATTTAATCTTTTTAGGCTTGGACAAGTCTCGTGATATTATTCATAATGTTTAACATTCAGTTTGAAAGTCAAGCAAATGCATAGATCATTATAATGGCAATAAGATAAAAACAACATTATTCGGTACCATTTATTTGATTCTTTATCGTTCTAGTGAAAAACATTAAAAGATTAAATACAAGTGTTTGTCTACAGCTCAAAATCAAACATCGTCATAATCGGCAAGACGTACATATACCATTAAAGGAAGCCAACAGTGAGTTTCACAAGAAATCTTTTATAAAAACTCTTTTTAGGCTGGAATCAGTCTTGCCATATATTTCTATATAAAATGTTTCACTTTAAACTTTGACGAACCATAGATGCTTACTCTTTCAAAGAATTAAAAGCGTGGAGAAAACAGAGGAGCTTCTGTTTTCACAAGAAAATATCTAAATATATTATTTCTAATGCAGTTATCTGCCGCGTAATTTCGTAGCGGAAATGTATAATAATATGAACACAAGTCTTTTTAATTCCTTAATTATCACAACTATAATCATTAAAAAGAATATTTGTATCGCTTGATTGTAGGAAATCAAAAAAACAATCAAGAAAATGTCACTAGAATCTGTAGCTGAATCTGGCCAATATATCAACAAAATGTCGATGGGATCTGGAACAGAAGTGTCTCATAATCATCATCACAAGAATGTTCATTACGGAAAGCCACATGTTGCTGTATTATTAGCTGCCTTTTCTTCATTAGGTGGATGGTTTTTGGGTTATGATCAAGGTGTTACAGGTGGTATAGTTGTTATGAGTTCATTTAAAAATGACTTCTGTATTGGTGTATATGGAAATGCAAGCGTTTGCGATCTGTCAGTAGCTGGTTTACCTTCTGATTACAGAAGGTTTTTAGTGCTCTTTACGTTACTATATAATGTTGGATGTTCTCTTGGTGCTCTCTTCATTTCTTCATTTATAGCAGAAAAATATGGACGTCGAGCCATTATTTTCACATCAGCCGTTCTCTTTATAATTGGTACTTCAATGGTTATTTTTCCACCAGGAGGTTCAACAAAGATAATGATTTTTATACTTATTGGACGAATTGTGGAAGGAGCAGGTGTTGGATGTTCTTCATTTTCTTGTCCATTATATCGGCTTGTCCAAACGTAACGTTGTGACATTTTGACAAAGTATTTTTCGATTTTCTCGAAGACTATAAAAGTTACGGATCTCGTTCAAACGCTCATAGATGCAGCTCGTTAAACTCTATCAATCATAAAAAAATCAAAGATTTCGCTTGAGCTCTTGTATTTCTGCGATCATTTTAGTGTCGCGTAACAGCGTGACATAAAAGGACCCTGACCTTGCACTACATCACTCTCGTTGCTAATTTTTCCATAAGATACTATTCAAATCAAATATAAGAAAGCAGTGTTTTGTACAGCTTTCAAAGGATTTTGTGTTGCTAAAAAAGATTTTCTTCCTACTGTTTTATTTCGTACAGAAAATACGAAATACAAACGTAACGCTGTGACATTTTTCGTAACGTTGTGACACAGTTTTTTGCTGATCATTTTTCAGATCCTTAGGATGCTTAGAATGAAGTGATTTTTTAAAGTGTAAGTCTACTCGGTATTGTGATGATTTATACCTGGAAATGGAATGAATATATTCATGTAGAAGCCCATATTAGAAGCAATAAGTCGAGAACTTGAAAGGAACTGATAAATCGCCTTTTGCTACAAAACCCAAACCTTAATATGTCATTTTGTAGAGAATCAAATTCTGCATCGAATGACATGTAAAAGAACATGTTTTAAGGAGATTTTTTGCTGAGACCACCCAAAATACGATTATGAAAAAGCTTGAAAAATATTTTCTTAGAGAAAAAAGTCGACTACGAACAAAATAAACGTCAGATTCGTAATCAGCGCTAAAAACTACATCTGAAACAGTATTTAGAAACGCTGTTATTGAAAAAAAAATTTTTCAAAACCTGATCAGTGAAGTGTCACTTTACGTGGACATGCCCATATGCTTCAGAAATAGCTCCAACAAATTTACGTGGAATGCTTTCTGGCTTTATGCAAATGACTATAGTACTTGGTTTGTTTGCTGCTAATGTGGTAAATTTTTTTTTACAAGATCATAAATGGGGTTGGCGATTATCAAATGGAGTTATTTTAATTGCACCACTTATTATTATGATGGGTATATTTTTCTGTCCTGAAACTCCTCGATGGTTATTCAAGGAAAAAGGTCGAGAATCAGCAGAGAAAAGTTTGAAACGCATTCGTAAAATTGACGATGTAACTGCTGAATTAGACGCTATTGCGAATGCAATACGAGAAGAGGGTAATGAAGTTTCAATCAAAGAACTATTTACAACAAAGAAAATGCTTCAAAGGCTCGGTATAGGTGTCGGCGTACACGCTTTTTTACAACTATCAGGTATTAATATTATATTTGTATTTGGTGGTATCATTTTCGAAAGTATTATTGGAAAGGGTATCATATCATTATTGATTTTATCTGGTGCAAATATGTTAAGTACAATTCCAGCATTATTCTTATTTGATAGACTAGGACGTCGAAAACTTCTTCTATACTGTGGCTTAGGTATGATAGTGGGCCATTTTGTATCAGCAACGCTATTTGTCACAGGTTGCAATGTAGTGAAAACTATTATTAATGACACTACGGTGAATGAAGAAACTATAAATTGCAAAACAAGTTCTGGTGTATTAATGCTTATTTTTACAGTTGTGTTTGTAGCTAGTTATGCACTTTCCTGGGGACCAGTCGCTTGGATTTATGCGGCTGAGATTTTTCCTCTTAATGTGAGAGCTAGAGCTGTTTCAATAACGACAGCAGGTGATTGGTTTTTGGGTATGCTTATGTCTTATATGTTGGAGTTAATAACTCCATTAGGAATACATGGAGTATTTTATCTTTTCAGTGGCCTGTGTTTATTAGCTGTAGTATTTGTCTATCTTTTCTGTCCAGAAACGAAAGGAGTCTTACTAGAAGATATTGAAGAAGTGTTTGAAAATTTTCAACTGAAGAATAGAACGATAATAAAAGTGTTACGGAGACCATGTTCGCGAGATATAAAAAGGACATACATGTAAAAACTCAATGGTTGTTTTAACTTCCAACTATCGATTAGAAAGTTCTAAAACTTGAATGGAGTTGACGAATTCTACATTACTGAAATATGGGTAATGACGTCTTTTTATAGTTTTCCTTTGATTATCTGTTGTATGTTCGCCTTATTTTATTCACATGGTCATCTTTGTCACTTTTTTTTGTTTCATAATATTATGTTTGTTTGAAAATAATAAAAATAAGAGAAGTTTTCTTTGTTCATCATATACATTAACCCTTTCAGGACGGGATTATTTTTTTTGAAAAAAAATACAAAAATCAAAGTTCAAGAATCAAATGATTCTAACTTTCATTCAGGTTTATTAATATGACTTTAGAGTATGATATTCTCGAAAACAATTCGGAATGCATAAACCTACATTGCAATCTGAACATTCATATCTAGTACGAGACTGTTTTTTTGGTCGTTTGACAGTTGTGCTACAGACAATACATCGTCGTTTTCCTCCACCGGTTAGTGCTGGAAAATGACGAGCCGTCAATCGGAGTGGTTTGTTCACAGAAGGTCGACCTCTTCTTGAATGTTGTTGACTTCCATACTTTTCAAAGATTTGTGAGGGTGAGGGTGAGAATAGCTGCCATGACCGGTTTCGACCATATTCAATGGTCTTATCAAATGGCTTAATACTAAAAATGATTCAAAACATAAAATTTTAATTAAAATAGCTAAAATCATATAAATTAAATCAAATCTAATACATTTGCACTGTTATAAATCAAAATTTTATTCAAAATCGAAAATTTTGAACAAATTTCAACTTATAATGACAGATTTATCTCTACCCAGGCCAATCAATACTACGATCGTAAACGCCCGTATACGGCCGTGCACGTTGACGTTAACGCCCGTAACCGTTCAAAATACGGTCGTATACGGCCCGTAAATAACCCGTTTGGTATGCGCCGTATTACGGCCGTATACGTCGAAATACGAACAGCGTTTACCATGAAATATGGGTCGTTTACGGTGGCGTATTGCGCCAAAAACGACAGTATACGTGCGGTTTTCCATCGCATCCGACCGTAACCGGCCGTAAAAAACCGTGATCTTCGTAATTCCAAAAACAATTCACTAAATTTCACCAGGATTTCACTAATATTTCTCTAGGATGTCACCAGGTTTTCATTAGGATTTCACTAGGATTTCATTAGCATTTCATTAGGATTTCGCTAGGTTTTCACTATTTGTGGAGATCTTTTTTGCATTTCATATGCAAAAGATCTATTTACTTATATAGGCCAATTTCAGCAAAAACAAAAAGGTGAATATAATCTGGACAAAATCCAGATTTCGTGTATTTCAATTTTTGCAGTTTCGCTGAGGAGTAAAGAAGTTTATAAAGTGAAGAGGTACTTATAGGATCGAAGGCTAGTGTATATATTTCTTATCTATTATGGTGATTACATGAAAACTTCTTGTGTGATCTGTGAAATGTTGTTTAAGTAGGACTTCGCTAAACGTATGTTTGGGCGAAACTGTAGTCGCCAAAGGTTAGTGGATACTTGAACAAGCCGGAACTGTGAACAGGTAGAGACTCATGAGTAAGGGATTTTTGAGGCGCATCAGAATATCCATGGCGTTGCTCAGTTGGATATTCAGAAATCGTTTCTTGTATGCAATAAACACTACACTCGAAGAAATATCAATATTGACGCGTGTATTTGAACTTTTGATGGGCAGAGGTGATATATTATGCAGATGGTAGAAATGATTTTGCTTTGGAAGTTTATATGGTGAGTATAGAAATCTAGATGGATTTGAGTTAGGTGCTCTTAGCACTTGCGATATCCTCTCTGATGGTAAAATAGTGTTACGAAATATGATATTAGTAATATATTTAAATCAATAACCATTTAATGTTGAAAGAAGTCTTTCCATAAAAAGGGATATATCGTATAAGTCAATAAGTAACCAACGAAGGGGGTTAATTAATATAAGGCATGGTTCGTCGATAGGAAAGGAATCGAAGTCGCTGTGAACGCAACAAATATTCGAAAGAACTTCAAAATGGCGACTAGAATGGAATCATATTTTGTTTGACTCTTTTCAATTTTACAATTATTGCACGAAAGGCAAGGATTGCACTGAAGATTCATTAGAATTTCACCTGGATTTCACCAGGATTTCTTCAGGATTTCTTCAGGATTTCTTCAGGATTTCTCCAGGATTTCTTCAGGATTTCTTCAGGATTTCTTCAGGATTTCTCCAGGACTTCTCCAGGATTTCATCAGGAATTCACCTGGATTTCAACAGGATTTCATCAGGATTTCTCCAGGATTTCATCGGGATTTCAACAGAATTTCACTAGATCTGATCAAGATTTTACTCAAATTCTGCGGAAGTATCAAAATTGGATGCAATGTATCACATAAGTCCAAAACGATTACACACGCTTGCGAACAATTTTTCACTTCGTTTTTAAAGAATATAGCCACTTATATAGGCCAATGCACGCGAAACAAAGAAGTGAATAGAATCTGAACCGAGTGCGGATTTGAAGTTCTTCATAAAAAATATTGCTAGACCCTTTGATATATACTAGTGTTGGTATTTTTATTCATATGGCGTTGAGGATGCTTTTTCGGAAATGGTGAAGCTATACTGAGTAATTGAAACATATGTTAACTGAATGAACGACGACCACGATCTCGGTCGAAAGTTCATCTGATTGATAGTTTTTTGGATGTTGTATATGGCAAAAATAACATTCAATGTGTTTATGGTATTTTGGTGTACAGTTATTGATGTGTGTTATTATTTCATCATGGTATAACGATGAAGATGAAATTGCGAAAACATTTTCTCAGAAAAGGGAAGATATAACGATTATGCGATAGAGAATAAGATGATTCAATAACTGTGCAACCAAACAAAAATTTTTAGTAAGAAAATTTGAAATTAGTAGTTTTTGTTTGGTTGATCTGTTAATAGAAAATCCAAAGAGTGTATTTGTGTAGGCTACAAAGGATAAAGAGTCGTATTGACCTCAGAAGATTTTCTGAAAATTTTCCTTATTTTACGAAATTTGAGAAGTATTATAGGAAAAGACTCAAGTCTTGTAGAGACAAAATCTTGATTTCATTAGTTATATTTGATAGAATGTTTATTTCATTATCGTAAACGACTGTTTACGGTCGGATACGGTGAGGAACGATGAGTGTATATTGCAGTATTTACATATGACGTTTACGACATTTTACGATACAATTCGGCTGCCGTTTACAGTCATCGTACTCAGTTACGATAGTCGTAGACGGTAAACGTTCACGATAACTGTTTACGCTGATCGTACTATACCGTAAAACACCGTAAACGACTGTCTTAGACGATCACTGTAAGCAGCCACCGTTTTTCGTCGTAAATCATGTGTATACGGTCGTTTACGGCCGGGCGACCTTGGCCTGGGTAGCAGTGGTGAGAATAGCTGCCATGACCGGTTTCGACCATATTCTTGAGGGTGAGGGTGAGAGTGAGTTATAAATATATAAACTACCACAATCCGGATTTCGACTTTTGTTTAATAAGTCGATCATCAGGTGGTAAGAAATAAATCTGCATGATTGAATTTAGAATTCTTAATATCAATTTTAAAAGAATAGAAATCTTCCAAAATTAATCTTAAAAACTTTAAATTCAGAAGAAGCAGATAGGTAGTTATTTTCATAACTAACAGGGTGAGTTATAAATATATAAATAACGCTTGTCGAGGGCGACTCACTTTACCCTCGACTGAACCTCTTCAGATTGACGTCACAGTGAAACAAAATTCGAGAAAACATTTGTCAAGTCAAGGGACATTGAAAATAATACTCTCCTACAATATAATACTATTCGTAAAAACCTCCAGTGCGAATAAAATGAAATGAAAAACTTCCAATGACAAGAAATCTAAAGAAGTTTTGACGGCAACTATCGGTATTGAGGAGTAGACCAATAATGAATGGCACTGCAAAAATAGCTTTCTGTGATACGATACTGAATCGATAAAGTTAGTCAATGAAATTTTGTGATCCTATTGAAGATTTAAATCGAATGTATTTAATCGATTTCAGATGATTTTCTAATGTAGAAGGCATTCATAAACATGTGAACGAAAATAATTTAATTTATAACGAGAATAATTAGCAAAACAACACAATTAGATAATATCGAAAAATATTTCGAGCTATTCTCAGTCATTTATAAATTGATTCACGAAATTTCAGTTTAATAATAAATGAAATTGAATAATGAATAAGAATAGGACACGACCGACGATTAGCAGAAATTTTTACATATTTTGTTATATGAAACAAAAGTAAAAATGTCGCTTTCGAGTTTTTCATTTTAGAATATTTTTGTTTGTTTTACTTTGTTACTCGTGTATGATTCGTTGGAAGACTAGATACCATACTAACCAACTGAGAAGGAGAACAGCTTTTAAGAAGATTTTTCAATTTGAAATATTTTATATTTCATCATAGACAGGAATATATCATGCTGTTTAGAATGATTTGCTGTTCAATTCATTTCATACAGTAAAGAACTGATGAGAATGCTGCATGAATCATTTGAAAAGAAACGATACCCATTTTGTTATGTTATATTGGTCATTTAGAATTCAAAAGATTATCGAGACTTATTCAAAAACTCTCCTTTCAGTCGAGGGAATAAAAAGATTTCTGTCAAGGTTAAATTCAGTTAGTCTCGAAACGTTTAAAAATTGACAAGTTAACTTTTTCGAATGTATCTCTACATGTATTCATATCACACCGACTACACGGTCCTCAATGACGAATTAATTCTACAGTTTCTACTCAAGTTGATATTGTTAAAACAGTAAATAATACGTTCTCAGAAATCACCAGTCAAAGTGAACAATTTCAAGTAGGATGAAGAGAATATGAATCAATTATATCTATAATCGAACTATAAGAACAACAACAACAACAACAACAGATGAGTTAAGATATTCACGTGGTGAGTTTAAAGAACAAACAGAAACATATTGAAAAGATAGTGAAAATTTAAAATAAAAATTTTGCCTTATAGTTCATTAATCGAATTATTCAACACTTCTCAAAGCTTTCTTTAACTTTAGTCATTTTACTGAATGAAAGTCTCTTATAGAAACACCTAGTCGTTCGTCGGCCACCCTCCGGTCGGCCACTCACCACTAGCCGCTTGCCTATCTACACCTAGTTAGCCATTATACGGTGGTCTTTTGCCTACGATCTTTCTCACTCACTTTCATAGTTTCCCCATTTTACTCACCGATCCCACTAGATGATATGATTAAACAGTGTCGTTTACCCAAACTATTCGAGGATTTCTGACAGCCTCAGTATCCAACCTGATGAAATCTTATATTAATCCACAGGTGAGCATCGAAAGATCTACAATTCACTGCATTTCTCAAACGATGAAACATGTGCTACCCATAATCCAAGGTCAGGGAAACGAATAGAGCAGCAAAGTTAGAACATGAAATACTACCCTAGGTTCCAGTCTATTATTAAAAATCGCTGTGTCAATGAACAACCCAAGAATACTAGAAACTTGTTTGTTTAACCGCAGAAACCGTGGCAGATCGAGTTTTTCTGACTTTTGAACGTTTTAAAGAATTTGAAAAAAATGTTTTTTTGACCTTTGACCTTTGACCTGTGACAGACAGACAAACAAACAAACGAGTTTCAATTTTTGACCCCACTTTTTTTGCACATCGCCCTCCTTTCAGTCGAGGGAAAAATTGTATCGTATCACAATAAAATATGCCTACATCATTTGACTAGTTTGTTTTTTATATCAAAAAATAGACGAGATAGACATAAAGTAAATTATTACCGAATGTGCATTTCATTTTGACGAGTTTTGAGAGTAAATTTTAGTCAATAGGAGATGTCAAATCGAATGAGAAAGAATGGCTCGGTGTAGAACATACTTGCTGTGAGCAATGAGTATTACTCTTCTTTTCCTGTTTGTTATCTTCTTCATACATTGTTTTCTTTTGTGAAGAAGTACCAGCTGCTATTTCCAAGATATCTCTCTGTTCGATAATTTCTTGTCTAATTTCTGTATCTGCAACAATCCTTTTCTATTGAAAACAAATCATAATACGTCATAGAACGAATCTTTCAGAAATCAAAATAATGCATCTCTGAACGGTTTGGGATCGAACAGATAATTCAATTCTATTTTCTCCTGTTTCTCCAAATCATTTTCAAAGATCGGTACCCGAACGTTTATTAATTGAATTTATTAAATTAGTAATTATTTAAATATTTCTTGGGAAAATATTAGTAAGAATATTTTCAATATTTATATAGAATAGAAATGATAACAGCATCTTCCTTACATAATACTGAATATTTAAATCGTTTCAATTAGTAAATTTCGAAGTATAGATATTTATATTTTTGATTAAATTACACAAATGAGTTTCTCCATAAATAATATTCATTTGTATTTGAAATGTGAACTATACACAAATAAAGTTCTGGAAATAGATGTTCAATATTTATTTAATCCTCATTCAACTATAATAATAAATTTACAATATATAAAAGAAATCATAACTTATAGACACTTAGCCAAAGACTGTTGTATAAACATATCGTTCTGTGAGAATAAAACATTGCAATACTGAGAAGGTAACGTTATAGATGTGAATGATGATATTGTACTAATAGATCTATACACAAGAATGACAAAAATCAAAATGAAATCTGTTCTTTAAGAGAAACAATATCTAACTTCATCCTGTTGAATAATATTTATTAAAATTACAATAAAGAAATATTTGATGACATGAAAAAGGTTTTACTCATTTTCATAAAGATAAGATAAGAATATAAAAAAAGATGACCTTTATCTATTTCATCATATAAAGAAAAAATTATATTGAATTAAACATTTTTCTTTCAACATACAAAAACCAAATGTCGTCATATAAAATATTAGAAAAAAACTCAACAAGTGCTCTATTAAATGTAGAAGATTATCATCAACAAGCAAAAGAAAAATTAGATAAAATGATATATGATTTTTATAGTACCGGTTCAGATGATCAATTAACATTAATCGATAATCAAGAATCTTTTCAACGAATAAAATTACGTCCAAAAGTACTCATTGATGTTTCATCACATCAAAGAGAAAATTCTCTAAATTGTCAAACACAACTTTTACAATCTACAGCGACAATTTCTTTTCCATGTATTATTGCTCCAACAGCTTTACATCGACTTGCACATAGAGAATATGGAGAATTGGCAACTGTTCGAGCAGCTGTTGCTTGTTCTACAATAATGTGTGTTAGTACTGCTGCATCAACATGTATGGAATTAATTGCTGAAGAATATCAACAACAAATTAAAACAAATTATCCTCAAAGTACTTCACAATTATGGTTTCAATTATATGTATTAAAAAGTCGTCCATGTACGAAAAAACTTATTCAACGAGCCGAAAAATCTGGTTATAAAGCTTTAGTTTTAACAGTTGATTTATGTGTTGTAGGTAATAGAGAATGTGATGTTCGAAATCAATTTTCATTACCTAATGGAATTCAAGCTGAAAATATGATTGATGATGAAACAAATGATTTTGCTAAAGATTATAATGTACCTTCAGAAGATGAAGCATTATCATGGAAAGATCTTGATTGGATACAATCAATCACATCATTACCTTTAATTCTTAAAGGTATTATTCATCCTGATGATGTTCGGAAAGCTCTTAAATATTCTGTACAAGGTATTATTGTTTCAAATCATGGTGGAAGACAACTAGATACATGTTTAAGTACAATTGATGCTTTACCTTATATTATCGATACTATTCGTACAGAAAATCAACAAATCGATGTTTATGTCGATGGTGGAATACGGCGAGGAACAGATATTTTGAAAGCATTAGCATTAGGTGCTAAAGCAGTGCTTATTGGACGACCAATTTTATGGGGATTGGCAGTTGATGGAGAACAAGGAGTTAAAAAAGTATTAGATTTATTGAAAAAAGAATTTCGATTAGCTATGATGTTATGTGGATGTCAAACTATTGACGATATTAGAAAAAATAATCTGTTAATAATGAATTATACATCCAAATTGTAATATCATAGAACTTCGATGTTGTAAGAATGCAAATAAACAAATAATAATAATAATAATGAAAAAGCCAAAAGCAGATTATTTTGTATCAAAGATATATAAATTGATTTACACTCAGTACTTCAGAAATCGTCTATATAGCTTAACGTTTTTACTTGAGAGTGTTCATTCTGCTCTCTAAGAAATATAAATTCATTTAAAAAATCGTTTTTGTATTTGGGAGACACTAGAGACACTACCTTAAGGTGTCAACAAATATCTAAAGGGAACTTTTTTATCTTGAATTTCTATAAATCGATACAAAATTCTTACACCAAAGTTTTTCATAAAATATCATTCTGGTTAAAGTTATTTTTTGGTCTGAAGAAATAAATTCTGCATCGACAATTCAATAGATCCTATCACTCTCAAATATTTATTAATAGAAAAAGCATTTCGCTAATCTCTTTTACAGGAAATATTTGAAGTAGTTCTCTTGTAAGATGTTGCTTGAGAATTCTAATCTATATTATCATGTCATGTGTCTAGGATATTTTGTTGATTGATTTCAAAATAAAAGTGTTCAAAAAATTCGTTTATAATTTTGTGATAAGTGAAACAATATGCTAATTAAGATAATAGGATTCATCAATCTAGGAGACTATATTCATCAGTAGTTTTTATAAAAGATTTTTATTTTACAAAAAATTTAATCAGAAACTAATTCAAATTTTTGAATTCGATTATTATTTGAATCAGCAACATAAAGATTTCCTTCATGATCAAATGATAAACGAGTGGGACCATTCAATTGATTTGATTCTGCTCCTTGACCATTTCCACCAACAACAATTGAACCTTGTAGATCTCCTTTACACTAACGCGTCGCTCGATGATTAAAAACGTCTGCCGAGTAGATGTGACCTACATCATCAACAATCACTCCTTCAGGAAACGGCATTGTGTCGAAATTATTTATTCCACCAGCAACAAGAATTCCTTCTGTTGCATCTTTTTCCCATTTCATCATACGATCATTTCCATAATCTGATACATAAACAGAATAATTATCATTGATAAAGATAAAATGAGGACTTTCTAATTGATTGAGACCATCTCCTACTCCATTTCCACCTGCAACTATTGTCCTATCTGTGTCTCCGTCTTTCCATCGTGTCACTTGATCCTGTTGAACTTCAGAAATATAAATAGATCCACTTTTATCCATTGCGATATGATTACGGGACGAATCCAAATCGAAAAGTTCTTGAATCGTTTGATTTTCACGAAACCATCGAAGAACTTGTTCGTTAGCTTGGCTATAAACGATCAATGCATTATTTATTTTGTCAATGATCACCTCTAGTGGATTCCACAATCGATAATTTATATTTCCTTTTTCATTTCCATCTATAATGATTTGACTATTGTTCGATCCATATTTCCATTCATCAATACGATTATTTCTATTATCAGCAATAAGAATAGTTTTGTTCTCGTCAATAACGATGCCGACAGGATAAGAGAGTTGATTTAATCCACTTCCTTCTCCATTTCCTCCAGCAACAGTAACTCCTTGTTGTTTCCACTTCTTGTATTTTGATAGAATTCGTTCTAAGAATAAAGATTAATAATCGTTTATTTACTTAATCTATAAATTTTACCTTCTGTTGTTTATTCATTAATTGTTTTCGTATTTTCAGTTGTGATTATAATCATTGTTGTTGAGAGGTTGATAACATTACTTTTTTTTGTTTTAATAATAATAATTGGAATAATTATTATCAAAATAAGAATGATAAGAAAAATCATGTTGCATATTAATTTTCTTTTTTGAAAATATTTCAATTCTTTATTACAAAATACATACAAAGATATGAATCGATTAGTTGATGTTTTTGATGGATTTGAGTTGACTTGTTCCTTCTAAAATAATGAAAATTATTTTATTTTATTTTCATAAATAAATTACATCACAAGTTTCAATGTTGTCAAGTTTCATATTTAATATATCT